TCGAGCAAACAACTGCCCATCGATGCATAGGTGCAAAGAATGTGCAGGGCGTCATCATACATTGCTTCATCGCCTCCAGTTAAAAAACCATCAAATTACAACTGTATCTCGAACTCCATCTTCGGAACTTCCTGTTGCCTCACATAACCATCAAACCATCTCTGCCGCCCAAGAAGTCATTCTGGCCACTGCACTAGTTTTAGTAAAAGACTGTTTAGGGAATTATCAAATTGGTAGAGCTCTACTTGACTCTTGTTCGCAGGTGAATTTTGTTACGGAAGACTTCACAGAAAGACTTAGATTACCAAAATATAAGAAACCACTCTATGTTTCAAGTATTGGAGATTCAAGGACAAATATTAGCCAGCAAACTACTGCGCGTATAAAGTCACGTCATTCCAACTATTGGACCTAAATCTTTGTGTCACTTCACACATTGCTTATCAGCCAAGCTCAGAGATTGACGTATCATCGTGGAAGGTTCCAACAAACACCCCACTTGCTGATGAGCAATTTTATAAATCTAAACGAATCGACCTTCTCCTTGGAACTAAAAGCTTTTTTGATATTCTAACAGTGGGTCAGAGCAAGTTAGGTGAAAATCTACCTATTCTACAAAAAACCCTACTTGGTTGGGTAGTATCGGGTAGATATACAGCGTCTCAGGGATCGGTAATACCTCCTAGGTGTTTAATGTCATTCGAAGAAATTGTCACCAAGCAACTTGAGTTAATGTGGAAATTGGAAGAAATACCACAATCAAAGAAGCCATGGTCATTAGAACAGGTAAACTCTGAATCATTCTACCTCAAAACAATAAAACGAACACCTGAAGGCAGAGTCATCGTTCGCTTACCATTTAAGGAGAATCCGGATCGTCTTGGTTTTATATATAATACCGCCATGCGTCGTTTTTTGTCTTTGGAACATCGGTTATCATCACGACCAGAATTAAAAGAGGATTTTATGGAATTCATGAAACAATACAAAAGTTTAGGTCATATAACAAAGGTTGACACAGCTACAATTACTCATCCGCACTACTATATTCCTCACCATTGCGTGATAAAACCATCAAGTACGTCTACAAAATTACGGGTCGTCTTTGACGCTTCGTGCGCCACATCATCGTCGGTCTCTTTGAATAACATATTGATGGTAGGTCCCACCATTCAACCTGAATTATTTACTTTACTGCTTAAATTTCGTTTATATCACTATGCCTTAACCGCAGACATAATTAAGATGTTTCGACAAATTATGGTTGATAAATCAGATCGAAGATATCAGTATATTCTGTGGAGAGATACGGAACGTAATTCTATTGATACATACGAGCTTAATACAGTCACCTACTGAACTGCCTCTGCGCGTTTCTTGGCTATCAGAAGTTTGAACTACTTAGCTGTGTGCTACCAGTCGCAATATCCAATAGGCGCAACAATAATAAAATCATCATTCTACGTCGATGACTTTTTAGGAGGAGCTAACACTATTGAGCAACTTACATCTATTAAGCAAGAAGTCGAAGCCATATTGAATAAAGGCTGTTTTAAACTGGACAAGTGGCATTCAAATCATAAGGATTTTGTAAATGATAATACAGTCAAAGATTTAAATCTCGATGCGGATAACATCACTAGCACACTAGGCGTCAAATGGAATCAGACTCAGGATGCGTTTCTATTTTCGTTTACTAACTATGACTAACTATGATGCTTAAGCATGCTGCTGTTACAAAACGCAGTATCTTATCTTTAGCATCCTCCTTATTTGATCCATTGGGCTTACTAGCACCTGTCGTTATCGTAGCAAAAATTGTAATGCAGGAACTTTGGCTGCTTCATTTGAATTGGGATGAATCTATTCCACAAACCGTACATTCTGCGTGGGAAACTTTCATTCAAGATTTACAAACTCTCGATCTTATAAAAATTCCGCGAAATTGCTTGTCAATTAACTATAAACGAGTGGATTTACATGGATTCTACGACGCCTCAATACGTGCTTATGGCTGTTGCATATACCTTCGCTCACTAGATAAGTCAGGAAGGGTAACAATTAAATTATTTGCAGCCAAATCTAGAGTAGCCCCCACGAAAAGGAAGTCATTACCTAAATTAGAACTTTGTGGAGCACTGCTCTTATCAAAATTGTATGAAAAAGTGAAGCCAATCTTAGATGACGTTCTTCAAGATTCGATTCTGTGGACTGACTCACAGATAGTACTGCATTAAATTATTAAACAAATCAATTCAAAAAGACAAATAAATAAAACAAGTAATATTTTAAAAAATTTTTCTGTTTAACTATTGTTCAATATTCATAATTAAAAATTTTTTCTTAAGGGGTAAGGGTGTAGTGGCATATTAACCATGACCACACACAATACGTTGTGTGCGATATTTCATGTGTCACACTAACCCGAAACACTCAAATATCAAGCATGACCGTAAAACCCAAATTATCAGTAATGAAATAATTTATGAGTCAGGAATTTGACTCGTCTGTTTTGTCATTTCTTTATGACATAGTGCGCTCATCATATACAGTGATTCCATCGCATAATCGGACAAGCATTTGTTCGATATAAACGTGCTCTAAACTTTAAAAAAAATGCTAAAAATATGATTTTTTTTTTGCTTTAATTAATACTTAACATACTTATCTATCTAAATTATAAAAAAAATAAAACATTTCTCATAATAACTAATTATTTAAGGTAAAAAACAGAACCAACACAATTTTTTGGGCTCAACGCATAATCGGACAAACTGAAGCAGCAATGCTAAAAATACTATTATTTTACAAATATGCACTTCAAAACTACAGTAATGAATATCACAACAATGTTTCTTACATTAAGATATATATAAATTATAAATTATAAAATTGTAACATAAATTAGTATTAAAATGGCACCAAATGGAAAGCAATCTAGTGTCGAAATTAGGCAATTAATAATTAAATTGAATTTCGAAGCTAAAACCGTTAGAGAAATTGCCAATTTAGTTGGAATAAGTAAATTTACTGTCTAAGACATTATCAAGAAGTTCCGTGATGAGTTTAGGTTGGGCAATAAGAGCAGAGCAGGTCAAGGCACTATATTAAATGTTCGAGAAGAACGTTCGATATTGAAAGAAATAAAGAAAAATCCTTTCAAAACCGCAAAAGATCTTAAATTATCATTAAAATCCCGCTCTGGGAAAGATGTATGCTTACATACTATTCGCAATACATTACATAAATTCAATTATCACGGAAGAATTGCCAGAAAGAAGCCGTTTATAAGTATTAAAAATAAAAATAAAAGAATAAAATATGCTAAGGATTATTTACTAAAAACAGAAAGCTTTTGGAATCAAAAAAATTGATGGTAAATCATCTTAAATACATTTTCATTGATCATTTTCATTTCTTCAAGGTTTTGTTTACTGATGAAAGTAAATTTAATCTGAATAGATCTGATGGTAAGATGTTTGTATGGCGTAAAACAAATGCAGAATTCAATCATTACAATACAAAAACCACTATAAAACATGGAAGAGGCTATGTTATGGTTTGGGGTTGTATGTCGAGTGCGGGAGTAGGTAATTTGCATTTTATAGATAGTAAAATGGACAAATCTGGACACCTCGACGATCTGAAACAGAATGTAAAGCAAAGTGCAGAGAAGTTGAGTATCGCAGAAAATTTTAATTTTTATTAGGACAACGATCCCAAGCATACGTCAGGCGTAACAAAGCTTTGGTTGATCCATAACTGCCCCAAACTCATTGACACACCTGCACAGAGCCCAGACCTTAATGATATTGAGCATCTTTGGGAGGAATTAGCTAGGAGAGTGTACCAAAAAAAATTTAACACAATAGTACAGCTAAAAGAGGCTTTACTAGAAGTATGGTACTCAATTGAGACAGAAGTGTGCCAAAAATTGATAAAATCAGTTCCAAATTGTCTTCAGGCCGTTCTGGATGTGTTGGTTCTGTTTTTTACTTTAAATTAATAGTTATTATGAGAAATGTTTTATTTTTTTTTTATAATTTAGATAGATAAGTATGTTAAGTGTTAATTAAAGCAAAAAAATCATATTTTTAGTACTTTTTTTAAAGTTTAGAACACATTTATATCGAATAAATGCTTGTCCGATTATGCGATGGAGTCACTGAATATAAACTTTAAAAACTGTTAACGGTTATTGGTCGTTCCATTAAGTCACGCGGCGCTATAGTATCATAAAATCTAATTATGCCACAGTCACTTGCTGAGCTCAAACAGCAACGTAGCACCACTAGGGCGAGTATATCCCGTATCAAGGGTATTATTGATGCCAGCACTAAACCTGAAGGTCAACCGTGATCATCAGCTGAACTGAAATGTCGTTTAGGAATTCTAGATTCCTATTTCAAACATATTCTAACGGCACAAACGGCAATCGAAAAATTAGACTCAGAGGATAATGTGAGGGGAGAGTTAGAAGAACTCTACATAAAGGTGCAGACTACCATTGTAGGATTGTTAGGTGAGGAAATACATAATTCTATGGTGGCCGAGTCCAGTTTATTTACATTACCGGTCTCACCTAAAAAAGTACCAGCTTTAAAGCTGCCCACATTTAGTAGTAAGTACGCGGATTTCAAAAATTTTATGAATTCTTTCCGACAGATCATAGATCGAGAGCAGTCACTGACTAACATAGAAAAATTTAATCATCTGCTGAATTGTTTGACATGGCAAGCATTAGAGACGGTTCGAGCTTTCCAAATAACAAATGAAAATTATTCCAAAGCTTTAGACCGACTGAAATCCCGATATGACAACAGTACGCTCATCTTTATGGAAAACATACCTACACTGTTCGAGTTATAACCCGCATCAAAAGGTTCAAGTGGACAACTTCGAAGTTTGGTAGACCACGTTTCAGTATTGTATGGATGATTACGGTCATTGGGTGACGAGAAAACTATATGTGAGTCGATGTTGATATATCATATTTGGTCATGCAAAAGGTTGACGAAGATTCTCGCAATAAGTGGAAAGAATCATTGAATTTCGAGACATTACCAAAATGGGAGGATTGTGCCAATTTATTAGACAGACACTGTCAATTCTTAGAATCAATCGGAAATGAAAATAGACCTCGTAATCAGATGCGTCACAAGACGAATGCTCAGAATAACTCCAATGTACGCTCGAAGCAGTATATTTTTTCAGTAGCGATATCGAATCGATCTTGTTTCATGTGCTCAAGTTTAGAACATTCTATAACAAAATACTCTATGTTTAAATCCCTAATGGTGGAGCAAAGGTTTAATAAGGTAAAGGAACTTGGTCTGTGTATTAATTGTCTGTCACAGGGGCATCGAGCAAACAACTGCCCATCGATGCATAGGTGCAAAGAATGTGCAGGGCGTCATCATACATTGCTTCATCGCCTCCAGTTAAAAAACCATCAAATTACAACTGTATCTCGAACTCCATCTTCGGAACTTCCTGTTGCCTCACATAACCATCAAACCATCTCTGCCGCACAAGAAGTCATTCTGGCCACTGCACTAGTTTTAGTAAAAGACTGTTTAGGGAATTATCAAATTGGTAGAGCTCTACTTGATTCTTGTTCGCAGGTGAATTTTGTTACGGAAGACTTCACAGAAAGACTTAAATTACCAAAATATAAGAAACCACTCTATGTTTCAAGTATTGGAGATTCAAGGACAAATATTAGCCAGCAAACTACTGCGCGTATAAAATCACGTCATTCCAACTATTGGACCTAAATCTTTGTGTCACTTCACACATTGCTTATCAGCCAAGCTCAGAGATTGACGTATCATCGTGGAAGGTTCCAACAAACACCCCACTTGCTGATGAGCAATTTTATAAATCTAAACGAATCGACCTTCTCCTTGGAACTGAAAGCTTTTTTGATATTCTAGCAGTGGGTCAGAGCAAGTTAGGTGAAAATCTACCTATTCTACAAAAAACCCTACTTGGTTGGGTAGTATCGGGTAGATATACAGCGTCTCAGGGATCGGTAATACCTCCTAGGTGTTTAATGTCATTCGAAGAAATTGTCACCAAGCAACTTGAGTTAATGTGGAAATTGGAAGAAATACCACAATCAAAGAAGCCATGGTCATTAGAACAGGTAAACTCTGAATCATTCTACCTCAAAACAATAAAACGAACACCTGAAGGCAGAGTCATCGTTCGCTTACCATTTAAGGAGAATCCGGATCGTCTTGGTTTTATATATAATACCGCCATGCGTCGTTTTTTGTCTTTGGAACATCGGTTATCATCACGACCAGAATTAAAAGAGGATTTTATGGAATTCATGAAACAATACAAAAGTTTAGGTCATATAACAAAGGTTGACACAGCTACAATTACTCATCCGCACTACTATATTCCTCACCATTGCGTGATAAAACCATCAAGTACGTCTACAAAATTACGGGTCGTCTTTGACGCTTCGTGCGCCACATCATCGTCGGTCTCTTTGAATAACATATTGATGGTAGGTCCCACCATTCAACCTGAATTATTTACTTTACTGCTTAAATTTCGTTTATATCACTATGCCTTAACCGCAGACATAATTAAGATGTTTCGACAAATTATGGTTGATAAATCAGATCGAAGATATCAGTATATTCTGTGGAGAGATACGGAACGTAATTCTATTGATACATACGAGCTTAATACAGTCACCTACTGAACTGCCTCTGCGCGTTTCTTGGCTATCAGAAGTTTGAACTACTTAGCTGTGTGCTACCAGTCGCAATATCCAATAGGCGCAACAATAATAAAATCATCATTCTACGTCGATGACTTTTTAGGAGGAGCTAACACTATTGAGCAACTTACATCTATTAAGCAAGAAGTCGAAGCCATATTGAATAAAGGCTGTTTTAAACTGGACAAGTGGCATTCAAATCATAAGGATTTTGTAAATGATAATACAGTCAAAGATTTAAATCTCGATGCGGATAACATCACTAGCACACTAGGCGTCAAATGGAATCAGACTCAGGATGCGTTTCTATTTTCGTTTACTAACTATGACTAACTATGATGCTTAAGCATGCTGCTGTTACAAAACGCAGTATCTTATCTTTAGCATCCTCCTTATTTGATCCATTGGGCTTACTAGCACCTGTCGTTATCGTAGCAAAAATTGTAATGCAGGAACTTTGGCTGCTTCATTTGAATTGGGATGAATCTATTCCACAAACCGTACATTCTGCGTGGGAAACTTTCATTCAAGATTTACAAACTCTCGATCTTATAAAAATTCCGCGAAATTGCTTGTCAATTAACTATAAACGAGTGGATTTACATGGATTCTACGACGCCTCAATACGTGCTTATGGCTGTTGCATATACCTTCGCTCACTAGATAAGTCAGGAAGGGTAACAATTAAATTATTTGCAGCCAAATCTAGAGTAGCCCCCACGAAAAGGAAGTCATTACCTAAATTAGAACTTTGTGGAGCACTGCTCTTATCAAAATTGTATGAAAAAGTGAAGCCAATCTTAGATGACGTTCTTCAAGATTCGATTCTGTGGACTGACTCACAGATAGTACTGCATTAAATTATTAAACAAATCAATTCAAAAAGACAAATAAATAAAACAAGTAATATTTTAAAAAATTTTTCTGTTTAACTATTGTTCAATATTCATAATTAAAAATTTTTTCTTAAGGGGTAAGGGTGTAGTGGCATATTAACCATGACCACACACAATACGTTGTGTGCGATATTTCATGTGTCACACTAACCCGAAACACTCAAATATCAAGCATGACCGTAAAACCCAAATTATCAGTAATGAAATAATTTATGAGTCAGGAATTTGACTCGTCTGTTTTGTCATTTCTTTATGACAAAATATTTGTATGCATATTTAATTATTCCAATATGCATTTGACAATTTGGATAGCGGCATGCTCAACACATGAATTTGTGTTAAGTGTTTCACAGATCATATTGCAAGCGATAATGCATGGAATATGATTTGCCCTCAATACAGTTGGTTACCAGATGTGAGCCACTGTGAAATTGAAGACCATTATAACTAATAAATGTATATAAGTTATTTTTATAAAACATTATATACGTCTAATTTGGTTAGACGGAAGTAAATTCAAGTATCAACCAATAGAATCATTACATAAGATTCTATTGGAAATTAGTTGTAAGAAACAATGTTAGTTTTAAGAAGTAAAATGAAAATAAAAATCAGTCTTGATATGTCGAACGAAAAGTAAAGTCGTTTTAATTTGTGTATATAAAAATCTAACAACTATTCAACAAAAATATCATATCATTACAGGCTAAAACAACTTTCTTCAACGCTGTCAACTTTTGTAGGTAATCGAGTATGTGAAGTACAAGAAGCTACGTCCACTTGTTTTTGGAGGCATGTGCCCTCAAAGGATAATGCAGCAGATATCGTATCTTGAGGTTGTATTGTTCAACAATTATTGAATTCAATGTGGTTCACAGGTCCTCAATTTCTGCTTCATGATGAAGAACATTGGCCTCCTAACAACCTTGACAACATTGATATGGAAGAGATAACTAAGGAAAAGCGCCGTTCTACTTTTGCTATTGAAAAAAATGAGAAATACATATTAGATGTTATTTCAAAGTGTAGTTCATTCAACAAAATATTGCGCATAATCTCCTATGTACAGCACTTTTATCATATAACCAATAAAAGAATTGGTTATTCTATTAATTCAAACAGTCTCTCTCCGCAGGAACTCGAAAAAGCACTACATTGCATTGTCTGGGTGATACAGCAACACTATTTTGCAGAAGATGTTCAACGTTTGCTGAAGAAGAAATCAATTGAAGGGGCTCTCAAGTACCTAAATCCATTTTTTGAAGAAACTTCCGGTTACAATTTACTGAAGGTAGGTGGGCGTTTGGAATTGAGTGATATTCCAATTGGACAAAGACATCCAATATTATTAATACCGAAGAACTGTACATTTGTCAAACTTTACGTGCATCATCTACATTTATCAAATTACCATGCAGGTTCAAATTTTGGATTATTAACGCTCGTGACATTACTCGCCAGGTGGTACGATCTTGCACACATTGCGTTCGATACAAACTCAAACTATTAGGACAAATGATGGGAAATCTTCCAGTAGAACGTCTGACACCTAGTCGACCATTTACTCGTACAGCAGTCGACTTCTGCGGGCCCGTTACAACTTATCTCCGAATTCGTGGAAAGACTCCATACAAAACGTATCTATTATAGCTATTTTTGTCTGGTTAGCTACGAAGGCGGTGCACATCGAAGCGGTCTCAGATGGCTGTTATCAACAAATGCGTTTATTGCAGCGCTAAAACGACTGATTGGTAGGAGAGGTTTACCAGCTGAAATTTATTGTGATAATGCTACTAACTTCGTTGGAGCTAGTAACAAATTATTAGATTTGAAAAAATTTTTGTTTGATAAATCCAATCAAACCATTTTGCAAAGGTATATTATTGTACAGACCAATTCATAAATTTTAACTTCATACCACCTAGAGCACCGCATTTCGGAGGGTTATGGGAGGCGGCAGTGAAGTCAGCCAAAGGTCATCTCAATAGAACATTAGTAAACACTCGCCTTACCTTCGAAGAACTTGGTAGAGCACTAGTGGAAATCGAGGCTGTATTGAACTCGCGACCGATTACGCCATTATCATGCGATCCAAATGATTACGAAGCCTTAACACCAGCACACTTCCTCAAAGGCAGTACACTTAAAGCACTACCGGAGCTAACTCCTATAGATGAGAATATAGAACCAACAGATAGGTGGGCCCGTATCACAGCAGTAAAATACTACTTCTGGCGAAAATGGTCAAAGGACTACTTAAATGAGCTGCAAGTTCGTACAAAATGGACGGCAGAAAGCCCTAACGTTACAACAGGAGCTTTAGTTTTGATACACGAAGACAATACACCTCCTCAACGTTGGCCAATGGGAAGGAATATTAATTGTATTACAGGCCCAGATAACTTGGTGCGAGTAGTAGATGTGCAAACCAGCAAGGGTATAATACGTCGTCCGATCCACAAACTAGCAGTACTACCTTCTTGAAAAAACTTTTTCAAGTGAGGCGGGATGTTGAAGCATTTGAAATCTATTATTATAATTACTATATTATATAAATAATACATATATTATAATTTATCTTTATATCATACTGTTAATATGTTTTAATTTTATTGATCTAATTACCCCTTGTATCATATGAAATCAAACCAACGGTTATAATTCTTGCTTTTATTGCTTTTATTGTTACACTAAAACTAAGTAATTTTGATATATGTTTTTTTGGTTTCAAGCAAACTTCGTTGGTTTGATTCGCTCTTTTAAAATTTTGATCTCGACGAAAGCACACGCGGATGCGGATAAACCTATATTAAATCGTATTTTTAGAAATTGAATAAAATAAAGATAAAACAAAATAATTCTAAAAAAGTGTTTAATTTTTTCGGTTTTAATAAACGTGTATAGAGAACGTGTCCAATAGCAAAGTAAAATAAAATTATTATTCATAAAAACGCTTATGAAATGCACAATGATTATCAAAGTGGTTCAAGGGAACCACTGACTTTCGTTACTAGACAAATGCTCTTCAGCATATTATATCCATAATCCCACATTATTTAGATTATCTTCATTAGACTCCATTTGTGGAAAACTCAGGCAACGTTTCTCTGATGAGAGTGGGCTTTAAAAATTCTGATTTTGTTCTTTCTACGAAATGGCTACTTTTTCTCAAATGGTCACAACTAAATTACATTTTTTTGGGATATGTAATATTCTTAACATCAATGATATTATGTAATATATTCTTTATATAATAAATATTCTTTTTTTAAGATGAAGTATTTTCTAAATTTACAGTTCATGACAATACCTCTTTGACTAAATATATAAAACACTATTTGTTTTTTAAACTATTTAGTTATATATTTAAAAAATTAATATAATAATAAAAGTTTTATCTGCGATATCGATATCTTTTGAAATGAAACCAAAGCTGAAATATATTGTTGTGAAATTGACAACGAAATCCACGTTTGTAACTAAATTCCCATTCACGATTTACTATTTTGAATGCAATATCTTCATACGGCGGTCCTGCATGAAATCGTAGTATCGTAAAATCGTAATTATCATCGCAAGTTTTCTGCAAATATAATAAGAAACAAATTTTTTTATATTCATAATATTCAGTTTTAAACTTAATTTACATTAATAAAAACTATGTAAATATGTATTAACATTGTTAATTGTGATTAAAGTACTTTTAAAGTTTGTTAATTAATATTTGATAATTATAAAACATCTTGATTGGAAATGATATAAAATTTTGATGGCAATTTCGATTTTATTCTTATTTTATAATTCTATTGTTTAAATTTGTTATAAATAAAGAGAACAAAAGAATAAATAACTTGATTCTGGCAAAACTCTTGCTTTTTCATGCATTCCATTTTCTTATATCTTTTCACTTTAGTCTTAATAAATGATTTAGTCACCTGTTAGACACGCGGGCCGATTGACACGCGGATAAAGCAAAAATGTTGAATACTTGGGGTATTTGTATTGAACGACTAAGAGTTTGTGAAAATTTTGATGAACACATTACAACGGCAAAAACAGGAAAAGATGCTTGGTTTGCGCTTATGAACGCATATGAGAACAAAGGTTTAACAAGAAAGGTAGAATTATTGAAAGAATTTATAAATATAAAATTAGAAAACTGCAAATCAGTGCAGGAATACTTAAATGAAATAATAATGAGGGTTCTGAAAATAAACAGCGCTGGACTCAACATTGATGATGAGCTTACAGTGTCTTTAACACTTGCTGGTCTGCCTGAAGAGTTTAAATCATGACTGTCGAAAATTGTAAAGAAAAATTAACAGCCGATAAAGGCAAAAATTTAAAATGAGACAAATTCGGCGCTGTACAGTGGTAACGTGCATAAGAAAAAAATTTGTGTATAAAAATACATATCATAATTGCAAAAAAGAGGGAAACAATAAGCCGAATAACGGAAGAAAAGGAGACGATAAAATTTTTTTTGCAGTAAAAAAGCGACAATATGCAAACGTGCATTAAAGTTGTAAAATTGGAATGCGAAAAAAATTAAGAAAGCATTTCGCAGTATTGGTATATTGATTCTGGCGCGATTAACCACATGACAAATGACGAAAGTTTTTTATTTAATGTTCGAAAGATAAATAACCAATCAATTGTTATTGCAAATAAAACTGAAATGTCTGTTAAGAGTGTTGCCATTACGTACGAATGAAAACATAAACAATGCTAAATCACTGATGGTCAAAAATGATTTTGACATTTGGCATCGCAGAATGGGACATATTTGCAACCAAAGTTTGGCTGATGTCAAATTACTTTGTAATATGTTAGTGTTAATTTTTATAAATTCCCATTCGTGAAATATGTAGTGTGTGTAGAATCAAAAAAAACCAGAAAGTTAAATAAAAATAAAGCCAATAGAATTATTATATTTATTAATATTCATTGATGATTACTCAAGAAAGTTATTTGTATTCCCAATTAAAGAAAAATTCGATGATTTCAATAAATTTATTGATTTAAAAAATATGGTTGAAAATCAATGTTCTAAAAAGATAAAAACACTACGTACGGATAACGGTCGCGAATACATTAATAAAATTTTTTCGAATATTTTGAAAAAATGTGGAATTTATTTTCAAACAACAGCGCCATATACACCAGAACAAAACGGAATTGTGGAAAGAATGAACCGTACAATTGTTGAACGTATTCACTGTATGTTAACGGACAGTGGTTTAAACTAGTGCTGTTCATATTATTCGAATATTCGTATTTCAACGAAGTCTTCGAAGTTAGAAATAAATTCGAATTTTTTGTAAATTTTTGTTCTCGAAGTCTTCGAAGTTTAAGTGCAGTGAAAAAGTTCGAAGACTTCGTAAGCAAAAGTGAGAGCGCAAAATGCAAACAAACGTGCGTCACACAAATTATTTGAGGGCTGAAAGCATTTGCTTCGTTTGTACGGTTTTATGTTTTTTTTTGTTATTCTATGCAGAAAATCAAAAACATTTTTTTTTTTGTATTATTGTATTACATAAAATTTATTTTATTATTAAAAATGTATTATTATATATATTATTATTAAATACATTATTATTAAATATATTATTATTTAAATATAAATAATAATATATATACCTAAAGAAAAACGCACTAAACTTAACCCAACATCAATGAAGTGTATTATGGTTGGTTGGATACTGAGAAAATAGTTAAGCATATCAATTAATAAACCCACAAAACAAAATAGTTACTATCAGTAGAGACGTGATTTTTTTTGAAAATGAAAAATAGGTGATTCCCTAGATATGGTTGTTCCTCTTATACAAATTGAAAGTGACAATTCAGGGAAGAATAAAGAGGAAAGCGAATTGACACTTAAAAATATTAAAAATGAAACCAAAAGTTCCAATGGACACTATGAAGTAATGGATACTATCTCTCCGGAATGCTTTGAGATTCAAGTAATATCCAACGAAGTGGAAGAAGAATCTAACATTTGACGTTCATCTAACATTTGTTCATTTGAAGAAGCAATGTCGTCCAATGACTTTGATAAATGGAAAGCAGCTATGCGGAGTGAAATTGACTCGCTATTACGGAACGAGACATGAGAACTTACTGAGTTGCCGGCTGGTATAAAAGCAATTCCATATAAATGGGTTTTTAAAACTAAATTAGACGCTCAAATTACTCCGGTTCGCAGAAAAGCCGAAAAAAGGTTTCGGGCAAATAGAAGGCATTGAGTACACAGAAACATTTGCTCCGGTGGTAAGAAATGGCCCAATAAGGTTTCTTTTAGCGCTCGCCGCCAAAAATGCTTTGATTATATACCAAATGGTTGCAATTACAGCTTATTTGAATGGAATTCTCAAAGAAGAAATATACATGAAACAGCCGAAGGGTTTTAACGATAGCTTAGGTAAGCTATGTAAGTTTTGCGTTCAATATATGGTCTCAAGCAATCAGGACACGTTTGGAACGAAACGCTAAATCGAGAATTAGTTGCCATGGGATTAAAAAGAAGCGAAGTTAATCAATGTATTTACTATAAAGTAAATAGTAAAAGTATAATGTATGTTGCAATTTATGTAGATGATCGACGTTCAACATCCGGTTACGCTTTTACCCTCCAATCTGATGCCATATCATGGGCAACTAAACGTCAAAAGACAGTTGCATTGTCTTCAACGGAAGCGGAGTATATGTCACTTGTTGCCACTATACAAGAATCTATTTGGCTTAAACGACTTGAATCTGAACTTGTATTTCGTAATACAAACCACATGATCCTATACCGCAATAATAAGGACGTAATTCAAGTGACAACAAACAATTCACACTCAAATCGAACCAAACAGAAGATAGAATCAAACGAGATAGAAATAAAATATTTGCCAACAAATCAAATAATTGCAGACATACCTATTAACAAAAGGTGTTACGACACAAACGTTTAATTTTCTAATGAATGGTTTTGGTCTTGAATGAATTTATAGTTTAGTAATATTGTAAACAATATGCATGAGCAAGACAGGAATTCTTTGTTTAGGAAAGGTGTTATAAATAAAGAGAACAAAAAAATAAATAACTTGATTCTGGCAATACTCTTGCTTTCTCATGCGTCTTGTGCATCCCGTTTTCTTATCTTTTCACTTTAAAATTCAGGAAAATTACGGATAAACAGAAATCAGAAATTCTTTGTTTAGGAAAGGTGTTATAAATAAAGAGAACAAAAGAATAAATAACTTGATTCTGGCAACACTCTTTGTTTCTCATGCGTCTTGTGCATCCCGTTTGCTTATCTTTTCACTTTAAAATTCAGAAAAATTACGGATAAACAGAAATCTCTTGGTAAAAAGCTAAGTTTCTACGGAAAGCAGGTTCTTTTCAATAGTTTTCTTCTATTATAAAGTAATAACTTACAATTAAAGATGATTATTCTTCATGAAGGAAATCAGAAAGTGATATTGAAAATTGCTTTCATATCAGCAAAACATGCGTTCCGCAAATAATCAAAAGGCATAATAAAACAGACTCTAGTGTGTAAAGGAATTGATTTGGTGGACCAAAAATTCCTACGGAAGTAAAACCTGGATTTTAGTGAATCATAGATAGTCTAAAGGCGATCGATTGAAAAAGCATATTTTTGAGTGGTCAGCGTTACGTATTGTGTCGTTAGGCATCTCATAGATCGACCGAACACATTTTAACTGATGTTTTGGGTTTGAAACGCGTTGCTTCTCGGCTGGTGGCAAGAAAGCTGAATTTCATTCAAAAAAAGCGTCGTTGTGATGTGGCCAAAGAGATGATTTCCAACACAGATAGTGACCCCACATTTATCGAACGCATCATAACTGGTGATGAGACATGGGTCTATGAATTTGACATGCCCCCCAAACAACAATCGACCGAATTGTACTTCGAAGGTAAGCCGAAACCGAAAAGAGAACTCCAAAGTCGGTCAAGGTTGTGCTGACTGTTTTTTTCGATATTCGTGGTGTGGTGCATTAGGAATTCCTTCCGGACGGTCAAACGGTCAATAAGGAGTATTATTTGGAAGTTATGTGTCGTTTGCGTAAGGCCATTCGCAAAAAGAGGCCAGATTTATGGAAGGAAAACTCATGAATTTTACACCACGATAACACACCAGCTCATACAGCGTTGGTTGTGTCGCAGCTTTTGGCCAAAAATTCCACCAATATCATCAACCAAGCACCGTACTCTCCAGATATGGCCCCGTGTGACTTTTTCCTTTTCCTCCGACTCAAATTGCCATTCCGAGGAACGCGTTATGAGACCATAGAGGCCAAAAAAGAGAATTCGCTGCGTGAACTAAAGGCCATACCTTCAGCGGTCTATAAAACTTGTATAGAAAATTGGATCAAGCGCTGGCATGTATGTATTGCCGCAGGAGGAGAGTACTATTAAAAATTAATATTTTGCGTTTTTTTTTTTAATTCTCGTTCTTTTTTGATCATAAGGCATATTTTTCCAAAATACAATTAAACTTCCATAACTCGAATTTTCTTCAACTCGAACTAAAATGAGTGCACCAGGGTTTTTGAGAGGAAATTACAC